ACCCAAGCTTTAACCTACAATCTCTGCGTATGTATTATCCCAGTTCTTCGCCTCAAATCTTCAGCTGCACGGAATTCCACTAACTCCAGATACAGGACTTACACCAAGTATCCAACATACCAGTATGGCGCAACGAGAACGAAGGCTGAAGGAATATGGCACGTGGAACCGCTGGCGGATCCTTTCTCTGAATGGTTGCTGGATGTTTCTTGAGCATGGCACTATTCACTTTTCTTGACTTGTATTATACAATTGTAACACACTCCTTTGAAAATAAATATCCTACATGTACCTCAACATCTTGCACTTTCGAATGGCTTAATTAGCTGGTCGGTCACTGTATGACGGCTCTAGATCCAGGTGCCAGGACTCACATAAAGGATTCAACATACCAATGTGAGGCAATGAGAACGAAGGTTGAAGGACTAAAGCGGATGGGCCGCTGGCGGTTCGATTCCTTTATGGTTGCAATTGATCCTGAAGTCCTGCTTTTATGTACAGTTGTGGTATCTAGCACATGTACCTTCGACACACTCGTTCAATAATGGACATTTCATGAGCTCAAACCAGAGGCAATATTTGTTTAGTGATTGCAGAACTACCATATTAATGCAAGGTTCAGTAGGGATTGCTTGGCATACGATTAATTAAAACAGTCCTTGCGAACAATGAAAGTCTGTTGCCGCGAGGAAGGAACATGGGTCGATCGCTTTCCGTCATCAGACTCTCGTTACAAGACCCTCCATTTCCCGTTCTTTATCATCATTTCCTGGAAGCCTGTCAAGAGCCTCATCCGCTCCTTAGTGTTGTGTGCATGGGCCTCATGCTTCAGATGCATCGTCTCAAACCCCCTCGTGGTCGCTATGCTTTTTACTTGACGACCATGCCGCCTCTTCTGAATGCGGTCTGAAGCGCGTACTCTCACTCGTCTGGGAGGGTACCAGCTCTCTCGTTTTGGGAGCCCCTTTTCCCGCTTCCATTTCGTGTGGTCCTCCTTCTCAAAGAACTGTCCTGGCTTCCCTATCCTCGGAAGTGATGGGTGAATTGTCTGTAGCTGTGGCATGGAAGGACTAGAAGCTAATATTCGCGGAAAACCAACGGGTAGCCCCTTTCTCTTACACACTTGCCTTTTTGCTTGTTCACAAATTTTCAGAGGTTTGTCCATCAGAACCGCGAGAAGGAGAAGAGGTACTCGTACAACATAAACGTGTTCCAACCCCTCGACTGAGTTGAACTCAACGCCATGTTCTTGTAACACTGTTTGTTCTGCAAGACCTGTGTTGTCGCAACATAGTCCCTGCCCTCTTGAGACAGCGTTCAGACTAAACATGAGTTTGGAGTAGTATAGATGCGCAGAATCGCAGGTGTCCAGGAAAGTGAAGCCTGGGGATACGGGTTTGTCTTGCAATCCGAGATTCCGGAATGGCTTGAAGGGCTTGAGAGGCTTGATAGGCTCCGTGAGGATTATGCAGAACTCCAGACATGGTGATGAGCGAAAGCAGGGCTGCGACCGAAGGAAATCTGCATCCCCCAATTCGAGGGTTTGTACAACTAATATGGCTGTGCAGATACATAGTGTACCCTCACATCTTTGCAATACTTCTGCTGCCAATTCAACTCTGGAAATGTGGTAATCGACTTCCAGGTTGCTGCCATTGCAGCTCGCCAGAGAAAGAAGTGAGTAAACACGATCGCGTGTATCCAAGCACTGCTTCTCCCGATAGTGGTCCAATAGATGGATCAAAGATTTGTCCTGGAACTGTTCCCGCCGAGTGTGCGCGTGGAGGAGCCGAGCAAAGTGGGGATATAATTCGTATCGTATGTTCACTCTGGCTAACATCTGTTCCATGCTCTTCAGGTCGATAGACGCCGCGCCTATCCATATAGTCACTCGCCGGGCAAGCATTACTTCTTGCACGATCCATGCACGAGTCCAATACTTGTTGTGTAGGATGAATTCGGCAAAGTCTTTGCGACACAAGTACGCGGCTCTGACCTTGCCAATGGTATCACTACCACCCTTCAAGAAAAGTGACACAAAGGGGAGGAGTTCCGGCGGCATTGAACCAGGCCACAATATGGTCTCTAAAGCGTTTCTATAGATCATCCCCATTTGGACAACCTGGTGATTGAGCTCAAGAACATTGGACTGGTCGATACACACGGCATCTATCCAGTATGGCCCAATATCAGCAGTAGCGGTACCGGATGCCACTCTTTCGCGTGCAGCATTCAGGAAACCGAAGAGATTTTGACCGACTGAGAACGACTTGCCGTCCATCAGGATGTCACGCGACGGATCGGGATCGCCCCAACGGTAAGAGAGGCAGACGTATGCGGCATGAACATTGGTATGTATAATGGAACATTGAACTCGGCCGTCGTATGAAAGGGCGGGAAGGATGTGAACAAGTCGGATCGAGGGCTCAGAGTGATCAAGAGGCTGATGTCTGAAGACGGCGTCAAACGCTGGTGCTGGTGTGAGGTGTATTGCAGTGCCCATACTGGCAAAGGACGACGGAATGAGCTGTGATCAGGTAGATAGAGGATAGGAAGTGTTGCAAAAAAGAGCAGGCGCATCGTTGCAAGGGACGGACCGCCAAGCAGGGGAGAGGGGCTATGCTGGCCAAAACCTGACCGGTTTCTACGAGGCTGAAGGTAGCCATGATAGGCTCTACGATCCCATGAGATCACTAGACAGACGTCAGCGATGCTTTGATTCGATATAACACAGACCGGCTTACAGCATATAGCGAGCGTTATCATGTATGTATGCGCAAGCTGGAATTGTCCATATTGCGACAGTTTCCCTTACTTCGCATAATGGTCTCAAAGGTGCGCAATTCTGTTGCGCATGCATGTCCAATCAGCCTTCAAATTCCGGTCTACCACCCACATCCGTCTCATTCTCAACACCGTACGCATCTTCAAAGCTCGCCAGCTTGACACCCCACATATTACCCGCCTTTCCAGGTCTTCCCTCATCAACGTCGAGCTCATCTTCACCATCCCAGTTGCCGTCGCCAGGCCACCGGAACGCCAAGACAGCGCCATCCTTCAGCCCAGCGCCCTTGGGACATTGCTTGACATTCGCTGCGCCTGCTTTCGCTCCGTTGACGCTCCCACTAGCTTTCGCTTTGCCTTTACCCTTGCCGCCCTCCTCTTCCTCTTCGCCAATGTTATATTCCCATTCTCCTAATTCGAAACCCTCGTTTGCGTCGTTGATGTTCACTGGCCGACCGAGCTGGATGTCTGACGCGGATGGAGGTAGTGGTATTGACTCGCCGGTTTCGGGGTTCCTGAAGTCGGTTTCTTGTAGAGCGTCGTAAAGGTATGTCTTGATCGTATCGAAGGTGTGTAAAGGGTCGACGTGTAGGATGACGGTGGTCTTGTGAGCCTTGAGACGAAGCGTCCAGGTCTGCGGTGAAGGCGTCGCCATCGTGATGTGGCGGTGAAGTAGGATAGGGTATAGTCTTTGGACGTGTATTGTGCGCGTTCAAAGGGAATGTACAGGTATCTGCGAGTGGCGCTGTAGTGTTTGAGAGGAAGAGACGCGTCGTTGCTAATTAATGGAGGGGTTCGCGGGGAGGGAAGGCGCGACCTGAACCCTTGCTAGAAATCTTGGCGAGTCGAGCTCACGAGCTTCCTCGACCTTCACCTCACCAGATATCTAATCCAGCCCGTATACCACGAGACTCACTTGCTCTCTGGATCTTCTTAAGCGCATTCAGTAAAGTGTGTCTAGTGTATCACACGCAAATTCAGCGCGCGCTCGGAAGTCTGACGAAATTGGACTCGAGGCATCTCCGCACCACCTCCGCACCCGTCGCAAACCTCACCCAACGATCACCTTCTCGGGGAGACTACGACTGACCATTGCGCCCAAGGGCACCACAATTCAACAATGGCGACAACTGCGCCCACACAATCCACAATGCCACCCCCAGAAATGCTCGCGACACCACCCCAACGGCCTACACAACCCCTCCCTTACGCACCCCGCCTAGGCATGCCCTTCGACCGGCGCCTCCTCCTCACCACCTCGCTCTCCTTCCTCTCCGGCTTCACGCTTGGCTCCTTAAACGCCGGCCACATGGCCTCCCTGCGCTTCCGCGCCGAAAACGCGCACCGCCTGCCGATTTCAAATCCCGGTTGGTATTTGTACCACAAGTCGAAGAACTACTACAAATGGCGCTATGGAATCGTCGAAGGTTTAAGAAAAGGCGCATACATTGCAGCATGGTCATCAGTCTTCTTCATCGTAGAAGAGAGTCTAGATGTGTTCCGGGGTACATGGAGCGCGGGACGTACAATGGAGGAGATGGAGGGTGTGGATGAATTGGATATGCGCAGGATAAATAAAGGGATAGCGGGGAGTAGGGATTTTATATCGAGTGGGCTGGCGGGCATGGTCACGGGTGGCCTCTGGAGTGCATGGCATCAATTTCCTGTTTCGACAGCTGCGAGGACGATTCGCTTGGGTCTACTTGTCGGGGCTGGGTTTGGGCTAGGTCAAGATGGGTTGATCTGGGCGAAGAACAAGTGGGGTGGTGATAAGCAGGAGGAGAGTTGGATATATAAGGGCGCGAGGAACAAGATGGCTGAGGAGGATGTCAAGAGTAGTTTGGAGAAAGAGTGAGGTATTGGATTGGGAGTGAGTTGGACTGAAATGAGAGAAGAACGAAACACAGAAGATACCAACAGGGTGAGTGTCAATGCGCAGAAGAAGCGCGAGGCTCACATAGGCGAAAGCTATGGTGACAGGTCAGCGCAGCATGACGCAGATGCTTCTTGAGAGACCAAACTCCCCAGCGTCGAGGTGTTGTCATCTGATCGGTGACCGAAGAAGGAGGCAGGGAGAATAGTGGAGACTGCACAAAGTAGTAACAACAAACTCATCTCTCAAAAGCCCCTTTGGTCTTAATTTGGATATCATTTGCACAGAGTACGTTCTATCGTTACAATCATGCGCATCGTCTACTTTTCTCTGGTCCACCACCTTACTCCTTATCAAAGCGCACAGCTGGCTGTTCCCGGATCCAGCTCAGATCCACCTTATGACCCAGCAGCTCTCTGATATTCGAAACGCCATACTTCATCATCGTTGGTCTCTCCAGACTGAGCCCGAATCCATAGACGCGCATATCCTTGGGCAGACCCATAGGCTCCAGCATCTCTGGCCTGAACATGCCACTGTTGCCAATCTCGATCCACTTGTCGAGACCGACGTGGAAGCCGAAGATCTCCATACTGGGCTCGGTGTAAGGGTTGAAAGCGGGTTTGAAGCGGAGGTTTGTCAGGCCCATGTTGGCGAAGAAGTCTTCTAGGAAGCGCATGAGACCGCCTAGTGTGAGGCCGAAGTCTGCGATGACACCTTCGATTTGGTGGAACTCGGCAAGATGGGTCGCATCGACGGTTTCGTTACGGAAGACGCGGTCGATGGAGAAGTAGCGGGCGGGGCGTGGGTCTTCGGCGAGGCGGTGGAGAGCCCATGTTGAGACTGCGGTTGTGTGCGTGCGGAGGACAAGACGGAGGGATTCATCCTCTTCCCACGGGTATCGGTCTGTGCAGTATTAGTATAGGTTCATGTTCAATGGGGATTTAGATAGTAACGAACATCCTATTGAGCCGAAAGCGCCCTCTTGGTGGACCTTCTTCACGTCTTGCCAGTATTTCTCAAAGTCTCGGGGCTTCTTTTCTTTTTTCTCGCTCTCGGGTGTGGAGAAGAGACGTTTTGATCCAGCCTCCATGCGGTCCATCGTCGCTTCGTTCGCAGGGTCTAACCGCGGCTTGTCGGCTTTTGGTGGATATGAAACGAAGAAGGTGTCCTGCATGTCGCGGGCGGGATGTTGCTGTGGTACGAAGAGCGCGTCGAAGTTCCAGAAACCGGTGTCGACGTAGCTAGAGAGTGTGAGTCGCATGCGATCATTATATCTGGGTCAATACGTACTGTCCTGTAGGCATCTCGACGAAACCTTGTGAGAAGAAGATATTCCTGAACTCTTGCCTGACCTTGTTCAGGGGATGTAATGCGCCAGAATCTTGGTTTGCGCCGAGAGCAGCGAAGTTGTAGGGCTTGAAGTTGGCGGTCTTCCAGGCATCGTTCGTGAGTAGCTCCACAGTCAGGTCTGTGTGTTCTACTGGTATTTCCTTCGCGTACTTGGGCCCCTTTGTGATGGTGTATGTGATGACTTTCGTAACGGTGACGAGCTTCTTCTTCTTCAGCTGAGCGAGGAGTTTGGCGTCGTCGAGAGATTGGGTGTCTTTGATGCCTTGAAGGAGTTCGCGGTTGAGATCTTTCGGCTCTTCGGTCTGGAGAAGGATGATGTCGCTCCCGTCCTTCTTTATCCACTTGTTCTTGAATCCATTGCCCTGTCCTACACTCGCAACTTCCTTTCCGAAGATGTTCTATGCGTTGTATCAGTCGCTCATTCTCAATGTGGTCCATGATGGCATGCATACAGGTAGGTCTGCGATTGGGACTCTTTCCTTCTCCTTGACATACTGCCAGACCCTGAATTCGTGACTGCCATCCGCTACTATGCCTTCCGACTCTGGTGTGAGAATGACCTTTTCCGAGTCCAGTGATTTGTATTGGACCATCGAGCGACTCGCTAGCCTGTCCAGCGCAGCCTTGATTTCGGCTTGCGATATCGCGGGGAAGTCTTCATTGCTCTGGAGGGGCTCCTTGGTGTCTAAGAGATCGAGAATTTCTTGTGTGAGATTTTGGCCTTTAGTCTCGAGCGGTACGGGCACAGGACCCCTTGTTCCAGGCATTTTTGCGGTTGTGATAGAAAGTTAATTGCTACAAGACTCCAGTCACGAACGTGGGGTTGCGGCGATGAGTCGAAAGTGGAAGGGTCGTCGGAGATTTGAAGGCCCGTTCGGAGTTCAGTGCCACTTGATTGGCTTGTCGGCGGCGCAGCCTCGCAGCATCTCCAGGCACTCACCTATCTGCAGAACCGAGCAATGCAATTGACTGTGCCCTGCGCGCCCAAATTTCTTCTTGTACGTACGTCATCTAGGAAGCACATTCTGACGACGTCCACGGGTAACGAGCCGTCTATGAAGTCCTACTTGAAGTAGGATAATTTGCGTTACACGATGACCGGACGCAGGTTACTGGTTACTCATGGGCCAGACACTACAGATTCAAGTCGCTTTCAGATGCGCAAGTGATAATGAGCAAGGTCAATGAGACGATACAGACAGGCTAACGTTTTCAAGGAGATTCCCAACATTGAGGTACACTAACAAAATCGACGATGACATGTTTGTCTTTTGCGGCTCGCGCCTTCAATATGCCCACGAGACACAGCAACTTGCTTCTTCGACTGTCCTTCAAGACAGCGCACATCGATGCGGGTGCTAAGTCGACCTGCTTGGGCCTCGTTTCATTCTACCACTACGCATTACATTTACGTCAACCGCGTTGCACTCGTGTCGCCTGGACAGAAGCCTACAAGATTTCTTGGTCATGCTTATCCGCTATCGGTGCATACAATAGTCCTATGCGCCTTCTCGCAAGCCAAGAGGCGCTGCGCTCTGCTAGCACAACGCTGTAACTCACTACAGTCCCCACTAGTTCTCATGATCAAAGCTCGATCCTGCAGAAAAGGCGCACGCGTAAAGGGCCACGCAAGTTCCAAGTTGCACTTGCACCTCAAACACGCAAGCAAGATCTGCGGTCGTTCTGCCAACTAGCGTGTTGTGCCCACACACCCAGAAACTATCACTCTTACCAATCGACTACCGCGCCTGATACGCGATCAACATGCGATCGCTCTCGACGGTCGAACAAAACACCAAGAGCTAGATGTCGTAAAGCGTAGGCCTCCGCTCGGTTCCAGAATCGCTTTGGGGAAGTGCTGGAAAAGCGGGCTAGTTGATCCCGAGACCAAGTGCAGACGGTAGCGTTGTGGTTGGTATCGCGGACGTGCGCACATGTTATCGAATGTTATCGAAACTGCATCGCGATGTCTGTACTATAGGCGGTATTATTCGCCGCGGTTACCGGGAATTGTCGACGAGCTGTGGTCTCAAGCTATACTCCCCGGGTTTTGGAGTTGGTGTCTCGAAAATACAGTTCGGCATGGTGCTTACGCGCCCGCGCTGTTGCTCCTGGAAACGAGGACCGGTCGGCGTGCTGATGATGTGCGCATGGAGAGGGTTACATCTCAGACGGGATCCACGCGGTTCAACGTCATCGGGTGGGATACCATGTGCTCCGGCGGAGTTGTGCCCTTGTTCTGCAGCAGCAGAGAGTATTGGAACTGTGGGGCCTGTCAGAGGGGCCGAGATGGCTCAACACCACTGACTGCAGGCGAAGGACAGGTGACATGCAAATTGACAGCTTCAGCATATGAGGAGGCAATGCAACAATATTATATCAGCAGCTAACTGCTCAGGCGTCCCTGCCGCTGCGCTCATCGCCTCGCTGAGCTGAGCCCACTTCGCGGTGGCTCGATGGGGAGGTATTTTTAGCCTAGACTGTTCCGCCCGCGCCGTTCGAAGAGGACGCGTATGCTGGTGTCGGATGCAAGCCTAGGGGCGCTGGCCAGGCCAATCACACACAACGCCACCTTGTCGCTGCGAACGCCCAGGGGTCAGGCAACGGCGAAATTGAGCATCTCGCGATCGCATCATTCGCCCAGCTGCGTGTGTCGCGGCAGGGGAAGTGCAGAGTCGCATTATTGAGGACCCATCGCAGGACCCAGCCAAGTACGTCAAGAGTTGCAAGACGTCAAGAAAAAATAGAAGCTCCGCTCGACGTTGTTGAGGCGGGAGGGCAGGCCGTTGCATAGTGCGCTTTGCCATGGCTCATGCAGGGCCCGATAGAGTGAATTGATAGCTGGGCGCCATTTGATTTGGTGGCGGGCTGCGCTCGACGATAACGCAGAGGCTTCACGCCGTCGCTGCTGGGAGCTCAGCGAAGACGCGGAGGGGGCGGGATCGGCTGTGATGGGCAGTATCTGGAGAGTTCTGCACGTCTTGGAGTGGCACCGGTGCGTGGGCTAGCCTATACAGTCCCGCCGTGGTGCTCCAGAAGTCGGTGGTTGACCCTTGTAAGTTAGCGCTACAGTAGACGGCAGGTGCGAGGCAGCGCTAGGCTGTCTGGGGCGAGCAACGAGGGAAAAAGGGTCGGTCGCTCCTGCTCAGCCCGCGCTCTCTCCCCAACGCCCAAGCCATCGCCAGAATCCTGCCTCCGTCTCCAGGACAGTCACTCGTTTCACTCTCCGCTGTCGTCCCAAGTGTCGTGCCTGCTTTGCTCTCGACCTCACTCGCGCGGCCGAGTTGACACCACGCACCTGCATCCCGACTTGCCGAGCGACCTCCTTTGCGCAGCCTCGCCGCAGATGCGATAGGCAACCCACACGCTGCACAGCACATCCGCACACACAATCTCGACAATGGCCTCGCGATTCAATCCCGGCAAGCTGTTCATCCGAACGCGCTTCAACTACGAAAAGGTGCCCGGCCAGGACAGCCAGGCCTCGTCACCGCTGCCGCTCTTCAGCAGCAAGTCATGGGGCAACAAGTACCGCCAGCCCGCCTGGGCCAACCGCCTGCAGCGCCCACGACTCTCGTTCGCGCGTCTCATCACTCTCGCCGTGACGATAGTGCTGCTGGCCTCGATGCTCGGCACGGGTATCTACAGGAGACACAGGTGGAACGCACAGCAACGGACAGGCGATGAGCGGAAACAGTACCACTGGGAACACTACCCTCGGTAAGCATCCAGTCACATCTCAACCCTTCGCACGCTAACTGGTCAGGTTAAATGGCTTCTTCAACGGCGTTCGCACGCTTGTTCCCTACGGCGACTGGGTGTCAGAGCAGGACTTTGTCAAGTATTCGCAAAGCCCTAACCCAGAAGACAACATCAAGCCCAAGTGGCCGCACATGTCCAAGGAGGACAAGGAGCCGCCGCTGGAGCTACAGCCATTCGACCCATACAAGTTTGACTCGCCCGAGTACCTCAAGGAGCACGATGAAGTCAAGACCTGCTACCTCGACGAGGAAGAGAAGATTGACCTCCCCGACATCTACGCTTACCCCGGCATCCCTCAAAACATGACTGCGCCCTTCTTCGGTTCATACGAGGAGATTGGCTTTGACGATAAGAAGTGTTTCGAGCGCTTCGGTCGTCTCGGCCCCTACGGCTACTCGTACTCTCGCGACGAGGGCGGCCTTGACATGGACGGCAAGTCTGAGAAGGGCGGTGCCGACAAGCTCTGGAGCTACGAGAAGAAGGTCGACTACCGCAAGGTGAACTGGGCGTCCGCCATGAAGCGATGCCGCGAGAAGAACGCCCACCGCTTCAAGAAGAACAACACCGCCGAAGAGACTGCACCCGCCAAGAAGAAGGTGCCACGCCACGCCTACGTTCTCCGTACCTGGACCGGCTACAAGTACAGTGACTACCAGATCCTCACTCTGCGCGCCATGATCAACGAGCTCGCGCTGAAGTCCGGAGGCGAGTACGATGTGCACTTCCTCCTCCACGTCAAGGACGATAGCCTCCCTATCTGGTCCTCGGAAGAGATCTACCAAAAGGTCATCGAAGACAACCTACCCAAAGAGTTCTGGGGCATGGCGACCCTCTGGTCCGAGCAGCAAATGCGCATGTACTACCCAGAGCCGTTCCCCAACAACGTCTACAACCACGCCAAGGCCCCCGTCCACTCTGTCTACCGCAGCGCCCACTTCGCAATGCAATGGTTCGCGCAAGCTCGCCCAGAGTACGACTTCTACTGGAACTGGGAGATGGATCTCCGTCTCAGCGGCCACTACTACGAGTTCCACAACAAGATTGGCGAGTGGGCCAAGAAGCAGCCTCGCAAAGGTTTGTGGGAGCGATCATCTCGCTACTACATTCCTGAGCTCCACGGATCCTGGAAGAACTTCACCGAGATGGTTGAGGAGGAGCTCTACAACAGCGACGAGAAGCCTGTCTGGGGCCCACCCAAATTCGAAAACACCGGCATGCTTCCCAGCCCTCCCGAGACCGAGCCCCCACACTCGTACTCGCAAGACAACTATGAGTGGGGTGTTGGCGAAGATGCCGACATCATCACATTCAACCCAATCTTCGATCCGGCCAAGACCAACTGGGTTTTCCGCGACGACGTCACAGGCTACGATCTCGAGCTCCCGGAACCCCCGCGGAGATGCGCTATCATTACTGTTTCGCGTCTGTCGAAACGCCTATTGGATCTTATGCATCGCGAGACATACCTCATGAAGCACCACATGTTCCCTGAAATGTGGCCTCCGACAGTCGCTTTCCACCACGGCCTGAAGGCCGTCTATGCTGCACACCCCGTGTACTTTGATCACAACTGGCCACTCGAAGCCCTCGATGGCACCTTCAACAAGCCCCCTAAGCCGACCGACAGCGTTTTCGGCTGGGGTGAGCACAACCAGCTCGGCAACAGCTTTTACTACAATGCTGGCTTCTCATCCGAGTGGTGGCGAAGGTGGCTCGGCTCCCGCGAGAACGACAAGGGTGGCCCACAAGAAGAGGAAAACGGCACCGGCCGGTTATGCATGCGCAACACGCTCTTCCACCCCGTCAAATACGAAAAAGGATCTGAGTGACTTTCCACGCTTCGCAAATATACCCCTTTAATTGCTGGCTTTCTGGGTTTCTTTGTTTGTCGCTCTGTTTGCCGGCGCCGCAGACGTGCATGTTGATAGATTCTCCTTCCCTCATTTTCTGACTTTCGCATATTCAGCGCTCACTCTCCCATTGTGGCGTTTCAACATCGGGCGGC